CCTTGTCCTGGTTTTGCCTCCGCCCTTGCCGGCAACTTTTCTCACGCAGCTCGACGTACTACACACGGGTTTTACCCGCCTACGAGGCTGCGGTGTTACCCGCCTGCGGAAGCTGATCGGCCCTAGGGAGTTGCCATGCGAAGCGGGCTCCCTACTTTTCACTTGAGCCACAGGGTCTGTGCGTATTAGGACAGCCCTCTGGGGATCGAGGCTAAGATGGGGGTACTTGGCCCCCTGGAAGGAGATAGATCTTAGCCAGGGGGCCGACCTGATTTTGAAGGTCAAAGGGGGCCGACCTGATCCAGACAAGAAAATTATGTTAAAAATAAAATCAGTCTGAGTCTATCTCGACTTGGATCTAAGGTTGGCTACCCCCCTTTTATCAGAGGGATTTTCAAGAGAGGTTGGGTTGGACCCCTCCATTTTATTCGGAAAGTGATATTGGACAGTTATTGGACCAGAGAGAGACCATTGTGTGCAAACAGGGGGGTACAAAGGGGTACAAGGGTGACAGAGACCACTGGCTAAATTGGCAAGGGCCAACATGCAAACAGGTGTGCAGCAAAACAGGTCAACATCCTGGAAAATAATCTTCTTGCATCACACCACCATGGTATGATTATCTATTGTGTTTGGACCTCACCTGGCAATGAAGTGTGTGGCTGAAGTGGCAGGGGCCAAGCTTCAAAGCAAAAACCAAGACTACCAATGGCGAGGGCACACACACACAGCCTTGGGAAGAGAGCAACACCTGGTGGGAATTCTGTTTGTCTGGAGACTTTGAAAGTCCTTCTTTGGAGTTATGTGGTGGGATTGTAGTTGAGCGCACAAAAAGCAAGTTGCAAGGCAAACATGTTTACATCCATGGGGCAAGTCCCTGGACAAAGGACTACAAAGGGGTACAAGGGTGACAAAGACCACTGGCTAAATTGGCAAGGGCCAACAAGCAAGCAGGTGTGCAGAAAAACAGGTCAGCATCCTGGAAAATAATCTTCTTGCATCATTCCAACATAACTCAAAGGTGACAGAGGACAAATACTGACACATGAAAAGACTGGTAAGGGCCAACTCCAAGTTTTCTACTAACTTTTCACTTGCAAGTCGTATGGAGACTGCAACTGATCCTCTCACGTACAGAGTCGCACCAGACAATGACAAATCAGAAGAGTCAGAAGCAGGCGCAAAAATAAAATCTAGGGGGCTGACATTGCAGCAGATTGAGAGTGGACCAGGCCTGGCAAATCAGGTGTGCGAGCTGAATCTCGATACAGAGATTTCTAGAGTCTGAAATTGTTGGCACCTCTCAATTTACCCAGGAAATGGAAAACGATGCGAAAATATTGAAATCTTGGCCCCCCCATTTCATTAGCACTTTGGAGGCTAAAATGGGGTTGGCCCCCAGGGGTCCTAGGTGATTTGGTATGCCCAGACGGCTCTTATTAGGCTCAAAACTATACAACAAGTGTTCCAACCTTGACACTTAGGACAAAGGGTGTTTCAGGGAATTTCTTCAACATGCAGCCAGAGAGCTCGCGCAGTTCATTGGGAGTGGCATGATGCTTGTGAGACTACAACGATTACAAAATGAAATGTTGACGGTCATTGAGGACGCAGGCACCAGATGGATACAGAAGCAACGTTCGCTTCCTGTAGAGGTTGGAGCGGCTAAAGCGAGAGGCAATTGAGAGAGCAGCAATCAGTCTGTGAGGCCCGGCAAGAAGAAGCAGAAGAGCCTCGAGAAACCCGCAGACAATCACAGAGCAGAAGGACAGAGAATGAAGTGATCGAGATCGAGGACAGCGATGTTCGACTTCGTTACGCGGTGAACAACGATGTGGCCATGGAGACGGTGGACATCGACAATGTTGGCATCATCAAGCCGGTCAACCCGAACGAGGCCACAGGATCAAGAGACCTGGGGCTCATCCATCAGGAAGAGGAAGGCTGACTTTCATGGAAGTAGATGAACGCCGGCGACCGAAAAACAGCAGGAAACCAACAATATGGCAAAGGACTTATGAGAGCAATGTTACTAAAATTCAAGATGAACCTGTTTGAGATCATTGCTCACAGTAAGGCTCATAGCAGCAAGGCCCTTCATTTGGTTCAGCATGAAACACATGAAACATTGCTCACAAACGCAACCTTTGGTGGTTTACTGTAATCAATTGTAAGACATGCCCCCGTCCACGGCTGACAACTACCGTGGCAACGTTTGGGTTCCAACTTGCTCCCCCAGCCCGCAATGTTGGCCCTCCGCATTGCGGCAGCATGGGCTGTTAAAGGCCTTCTGCTGGAGCTGATGCCTTCTCCTCCTTCCAGCCTCCACTCTTGACGTTGGCTGGGCCTGCGCACGGCGCCCAGTGCTCGTTCAGCACTTGTGTCTCCGCGGGTCAGTCCCATTGCCTTTTTCACATTTTCATCGCACCCCACCCCTTGGAAATGAGTCTACATTGTTATTGCTTTGTTCTACCCTGGATGACTAGTTGGTGTGGCGACAAAGTCTGGCAAACAATGTCCGTGATGGATTGTAAGGTGACCATCGCCAAGGTTTTGGCCAACAACCAACCATAGAGGCAGATACAACCAGCAAGGAAATCAAGAAAGGAACCTGCGTTAAAAACATTTCATGTGTACAGCGTGTGAAGCCATGTTTTGCTCAAAAGCGGGTCCTCTTTCGTGTGACGAGGTTCCATTCGTAATGGTTAGGCTTCGGCAACGGCTGAATCGACCAGTGCGTGTGTTTGTGAGAGCATGTTCAAGGTGCCATCCTTGCAAAACCCGCCCCCGCTTTCAGGAACGTCAGCGTTACAACATTTGTGACCAGGGATTACGTTGCGCCACCGCCTGCGCTCGCCGACCCGTAGCCGGTGCGGCAGGGAAGCAGGTGGCCCTGGCTGCCTCACCCAACGGTGATCATTGCGGGGCTTGCACAAAGTGGGGCGGTGGCCCGGCGTGCTCACGTCTTGGAAAATGCCTGGAACACAGTGCGTCTCGCATGGGCAAGGCATGGTGCTGCGATGCCACGTTGGTCCCGCGATGGAGCTGCGCTGGCTACACCCAGGTCCTTAGCGTTTTCGTCCTTGGCGGGCGCTGGGGCTCGGATTGCTAGCGTCTCATGCGACAGCTCGTCCGTGTCCGGGCCTGCAAACCACCAGTCTGGCGCTGGCGGGCCCGCGAGCCCCCGCCGCCGAAGAAAACCGTATTCAGAAACTGCGCTGTATTCAGAAACTAGTCTTCAGAGCTATATCGTTGTATTCTAAATTTGTTTCGTGGTATTCAGAAACTATGTTCTGCGTATTGTGACATATTTGTGGGGGTGGGGCGGGTGGGGTGGGGGGCAATAAACATAGGTGGGCAGGTGCGTGACAAGTTAAATGATCTTTGTGGATAATGTTGCTGTTGCTCTTCGTAGTTTTATGTCGGGCGCGCCAGCCATAGATACAAGGAACCAAAATAACCTTATAAAGCAGAGCAAAAAGAGTAAAGCAAACAGAAAAACAAAAAAATGTAGCTGTGCGTGTTTGTCGTTTCTCTTTAAACTTATTTTTTCGCATTATTTTCGTTATTTTTTATCGCTCAATTTTCGCATTCTTTTTTGTTTTTCTTCCCGAGAGCGTACAGCAAGCAAATTCTGCTGACGGGTAAAAGTTCTCATAGGCCCACAAGTGGCACCAGGAACAAAAGAACAAAACAAATGCAAAAACAAAGCAAATTGCGCTGCTTTTGCATTTTCATTTGCTTTTGTTTTGTTTTTTCCCGTTTTTTCACAAAACCAATTGTTTGATGGTTGGTCATGTATGGCTGCCACTGCCCAACAAAACGTAGTTTCTGAACAATCATTTCCGGATGCAACCATCCAGTTTCCGAATACCAGTTTCCGAAGAATTTTTTTGTAATTTCCGAATATCAGTTTCCGAATCCCACGCCGTAGTTTCTGAATGCCAGTTTCCGAATACAACCGTTTTGTTTCCGAATGCAACCGTCCCAGTTTCCGAGTTGTGGCGGCTGGCGGAGTCAGCCACCCGGCGAAGTCAGCCACCAAAGTGTCCAGCGGCGGGTTCTCTTTAGTCTCTTGAAAGGATTGTTAGTGGCATGACTCGTAGATGTCAACGCCACAATGGCGTTGGCCTAAAGTTTAGCAAGTACAAACTATCAAGTAGTTTGAGAAGGAACACCGTGGAGTTGATGGCCCGCATCTTTCCCGCGAACGGTTGGATACTTTGATGGCTCATTACGCCCAATACTTCTGAGGGCTGACTCCGCCAAAGTGTATTCACGGTGAAATGTATTTGTTGATGTGACAATTCGAAGCTATCCAACAACCAACAGCCATAAGTGAGGAGACAAAACGAAGACGAGAAGGGATAGTATAGTGTAGACGGACAAATTCGTGACCGCAATGTATCGGCGCGGTCCCCATTCACACACGCCAGATTATGATGCAACGTGTGCTCCACCTCGCCGTGGCAAAGCTAACTTTTTAAGCAACATTTGGCAAACGCACGTGCATCTTGTTTGGGCAAACATCCTGGAAAATCGGCCTTCTTATGCTTCGTATGTCTCTCACACAACGTGCTTTTATAGAGCTGTTGCCAGCCCTGTTCCCTGCCAGGCTTTGGAATGCCAGCTGTTAAAAATACAGCGGCCAAACCCCCATGCAAACACAGGAAATTCCAAATCGTTATTTTTCTCCGGGTGCTTTTCATATCCTTTTCTGGTATTGTTACTGATGCACGTTTTTGCGTTTCCGTTCCTTTGTTTGTGTGTTCCTTCTACCAAGTGTCATGTGGCATAAATGGCAACCTTGACGCTTTGGGCAGTGAACCGATGGCGATGTCGACAGCTTTGGGCAGAGGAAAGGCGTAGATGCGGGCCGTGAAGCCATGAGTTGGCAGTGTGACGTGCTTAGCGGTGAAATTGTGTGTTTACGTTTCGCGTTTTAAAGCTGTGATGGCGGGTGAACTTGGATTCAGGACTGAAAGCAGGCATCGGCACTCATGTCGAACCAATATGCTCAAGGAACTTTGATTTGGGCAGGCACCCCAGTTGGGGTACAGAATGTGGTTTGCTTGCACTTTTTACTTGCATTGCTCAAACGAAAGCAAGGTCAAGCATGATGAAGAAGTCTGGATCCAGGCGTTGGTTACATCCTGGTGGTGTTTTGAGGGTTGGACCCTGTTTGGAAGGCTGAGATCGTCACTTCTACCGATAAGGACGTGTGGAAGTGCTGGAAGTGCTAATGATTGGACATCTTGGATTTATCAGATTTGTGTTTTGCGTTATTGGTATGTGCGCTCCACAATGTGATGATGTCACGCAGTGTCTGGGACATGCTCGCAGGAAATCATCGTAAAAACAGCAGATGATCCAAATGGTCGAGTTGTGTTGGGCCCAAATGAGCCGATTTTCTTAAGGACACGTCGTGACTTTGTGGTTTGATTTCTCATCGGTTCTTGTTCTGTCGCTCTCCGTTACAGGACGTCGGATGTATTCACATCCGAAGGGCTGTCTGTCCTAGATGATTTGACACAGCCACAGCCCAATTATTCTGCCTTGTAGCCAGACGCTGCCGAGAGAGAGGGAGAGAGAGAGAGAGAGAATACAAATAAATAAGAGAACCACATTTTTCTGAAGAGATGTTTCAAAACGGACATCATGGTGCCACTGAGCGCCCTGTTTGGGTTCAATATTTTTTTCAGTGTAGTGTTGAACATTCAGCTGAGGCTAACGCACCTTCACGAACCCGCAGTACTGAGCTCACTGCAGCCATATGCTAAGCACGGCATGGCTTGGCGGTTTCCATCAATTCCGTTTGCTTGCAAGCTTCGAACACATTGCGCTTGTTGATTTCAGTTTACTAAGCTTTTTTGGGTTGCCTTCGGAACCAGGCAACCAGCAAAAACCCAGAACTGCTTGGCTTGCTGGCGCGATGGAACAGGAACCGGTTTGACATCGACAAGATCTACACCTTCACAGGGCCAATTCTGATTGCTGCCGGCTTGGAAACGTTCTGATCACAATATAAGTAAAAGGTATGTGCTAAAAGCACCAAACATGATCTGACGTGCTGAGTGCCGCTTTAAGTAAGGCAGTGAACCCTTTCAAATCCATTCCTGGCATCTACGATGAAGAGGCCTGTAAAGCAGCTGCGGCGTGAGATAGGAGGTGGTCCTCTCACACGAGTCGATGAGATGTTTGCATTTCGGCTAGGTGCTAAGTGGCTTCATCAGCACAAAGCCTTCAACCAAGCTGATGGCTTAGAAAAACTGGGCCGTTGATGTTTGCGTCAAGAGGCAGTGGGGGTACGGAAGGACCGAGTCGAGGGAAGATGAGAGAATGACCACGAGTGAGATGCATGTCACGTCACAAAGGCCTCATGTGTTCAACACCTCGAATGCCTCCTACCGCGGCATTTGTGACCGACACAAGTCACAGTCCTTGTCTCAGATGTGTTCAGGGATAAGCCATATATATATATATATATATTTCATGTGCCTAAATAAGTCATAGATTGGATCCAATGGCCATAGCAGTGTCGAGTTGTGGTGGAGGGAGAAGGTTTCGGCATTCTCGAGTAATTCGAGAGTGGCTAACATGCTCTTCGTCCCCTGCTGGAGTCACTCACTCCTAGGACTGTGCTCATCAGTGGTGAGTCTGGCGCAGGGAAGACGGAGACTACCAAGCTGGAAGCCTCAGGGGCAAGTTGCGCCTCGCAGACTTCAGCTTTGTTCACAACCTCCCCGACGCAAATCTTGTTTGCAGTGATGCTTCAAGTGAATTGTTTGATGGTTCGTGTGGAGCCAGTCTGGCCCGCATTGACCACAAGGCACGTGATGAAGTTCTTGGCCCTAGCAGGGTCGTCTGATGGCCAGGCCTGTTCGCATCAAGCATGTCACGTATAGCGAAGCGACATTGTCGCCCTTCAAAATGGTAGAGGATTGTAAATTGTAAGTGCAAAATGCTCGGAGATTGTCACAGCCGATCTCAGGTCACAAATGTGGAGAAGCAGGCACTATTCTAATTTGGTGTTGAATGCATCTGATTTTGATGTCTCTGGGCCTTTTGATTGAGTGAGGTGCTTGAGTCGAACCCTTTGCTGGAAGCGTTTGGAAACGCGTTGGCCTTACTGTTTTCCAGTTCTCAATATATAAATTTCCATCCTCTGTTGTTGTGGTTATGGTTAGAATTTCCCCCCAGACAATGTCACACGTCTTCAGATGCCTGCCCTTGAGGCCAGAACGTTGCGGAATGACAATTCCAGTCGCTTCGGCAAGTTCATCGAACTTCAGCCTCGCGCTCGGCTGTTCATCATGTCTGTCGACAGCTTCCATCCGCCTTGCGGCCCCGAACGAGGTTTCGACCTGGCACAGACTCCGGTGTCAAAGGGGTCCATGGCTTAAGGAGTTTTTAAATGGTTTGTTTTGGTTTGAAGGTTTTGCATTTGTGGACCATTACTTCTGGATTGGATCTTCCTCCTCCTCCAGGCTGTACAGGGGATGTCTGGTGAGAGCCTTCGTCTTTGCGGTGCTGGCCTCGAGTGTGTTTCCTTGTTTGGTCTTCCCATCCGATTGGCCCACAAAAAAACAGCAACTACTCCCTGGCGGCCCTGGCGAGGTGCTCGCATTCGTCATTACCTTCTGGAGAAGGTCCGTGTGTGCGAGCAGCAGGCGAAAGCGGCACAGCGTGGAGTTGTATCACAAGTTGTCATTGTCAGAGAGAGAGAGAGAGAGAGAGTGAGAGTGAGAGAGAGAGAGAGGGAGAGGCATGTGCTTTGTCAAACCTGTGAGACATGTAGTTACTCGTTACCAGGAAGGCGAGAGGAACTATCACATTTTCTACGAAGCATGATGAACCCTCAGCTGCCTGCTGTTAGGTAGTCCGATGTGAAAGCTGTGGGGTTTGTCATTGTTCAGTTTCTCAGGTGCTGCCGCAGCAAAGCTTGGCGGTCAGAAGGTGTGCCGCAGCTTCGTTGTTTGCACGATATCCAGTATTCTCCAGTGATGAGTTTCGAAGACGTCTTTGGGGGGTGCGCGCGCGCAGGAATACTCTTATCCACAAGTGCTGTCCAAGGACCAGGTTCTTTCGCCAAAAACATGAGATCTATTGGATTATGCTCAGAACTGGCCACAAGATCACGTTGAGGCTGTGGAAGAGATGGTAGTTGATTTGGAGGGCCGGGGACCTGAGACAGATTCCGATTTCCTTTCATGTCTCCGAGAAGCTTAAATACTTGTACATACTTAGTCTGCAGCATTTCTGCTAGCATCCAGTTTTGAAGCACGTTTGCAAAGCAGCCTTTGTGGGTTCGGACTGCGGAGAGGCTTCTCAGAGCTCTCCAACTATGCATTCTTGACCCGCTCGACGTGCAAGACCCTAAAGGCAAAGTTTTGCCAGCTTGTGCGTGTGGCTCTGCTGAAGTGTTGACTGTGGGGGCCCTTTCAGCCGCTTGCAAACTTTTCTTCATCCTTTAGCCTCACATAGTGAACTGTCAGTAATAGTCATAGTCATAGGCAAAGATTGTTTCTGGCTTGTGGCTGCGTGCCATGAACGGGACCCCCTCTCGCCAGAGCCCTTTTGCAGGATGTGGACGACGTTGAGATGTTCGAGCGGAGGATCAATGCCATGCAGACCATTGGCATCAACAAGGAGGACCTCACTGAAGCGCCTGACTTAGCCTGACTTGATGAATCTCCAATTTCAACTCACCACTTGGTCCCCCGAATTGCCGGACAACGGTGTTTGAAACTCAGAGGTGTTCCACATGGTCGCAGCAGTACTCAATCTGGGCAACGCAAAGTTCGATGCATCAAGCTCAGGATGAAGACTGCAGTGTGAGAGAGAGAGAGAGAAAGAGACTTTGAACACGAAAGAGCCAGAAGCCATGGATTGGAGAGGCTCCACCCAACAACAGCGAGGGCTCTATGGTCATGGCGGTGAGCTAGCTGAGCAGTCTCTCATGATGGACACTGGTGTCCTGTGACCCATGCGCATCTTGACAGGAATGCGCCAACAGTGTCGCCATGGCGGAGAAATTGCTGGGCATCAAGAGTGGGGAGCGGTCGAGCTTTGAGACCTTGTGCCTTTGGGAAGTCAATTTCAAGTCTCCTTCGATGTTCTGGCCCAGCCATGTGCCATCCGACGCCATCCGCACGTCCACCAGGAGCTGGAGAAAGCTCTGTGCAACCAGACGCGCGTGACCCGTTCCGAGAGGATTCGCAGCCCAGTGAATGTGCGGCAGGCCTGCGGTTTGGATGTCTTCTTAGCCTAGAGACTGCTAAGTGGCAAGTTTGTTCCATGGATTGTTTGTGAAAGGCCGCTGACAATCGGGATGCCTTGGCTAAAGCTTTGTATGGAATTGTCTTCAACTTCATAGACGAGACCTTAGCACGGGAGTTTCTCCTGGCACTTTGACAAATGAAGGGCTCTTTTGGGCGTATATACCGACCTCCTTGGCTTCAGGTGTACAGTACCAACCTCTCCATCGGTTACATCGATGACGTGAAATTGTTTGTAGGACAGAGTGGGCTTCAGTGGAGTTTATTTCCACTGCCCGGATGATGCAGATGCCCCTTGTTGGAGGAGTGCTGGACATTTTTGGCTTCGAGTGCTTCAAGATGAACTCATTTGAACAGTGGATGCCACAGACGTGAGACGTACACTTGTAAATCTTTACTTGGCCAGTAGCTTGCCATTCAGGTTGTGCATCAACTTCACCAATGAAAGGCCTCATGGGGTGTTTCACCCCCCCAGAGACTCACAAAGAACCTGTGCTTCTAGTAGGTTGTGCGTTGGCCTAGTGGGCCCAGTTCCTCCAAAGGTGAGTGTTTCTTTTTTCCTTTGCCTAGACGCATCGTCGTTCACGTTCTGCTAGTAGCTGCTAGCGAGACCGTACTGTTTGACGCCATGCATAGTGTCACTGTTTGACCAGCTCAGTTGTGGAGGCTGCAGCAGTTCTTCAACTCCTTTGTCTTCAAATTGGAAGAACAGCTTTATGAGCTGGAATCCAAAGAGATGTCTCAGAAGTCTTGCTGTGCCAAAGCGGAAGTGGTTGTGATGTGCCTTAGAGGAGTTGACTCCAATCTTTCAGGCGTGAAGGAATTCCGTGGGATGCCCTGGACTTCCCAGACAACCAGGACAGGCTACTGAGCAGCGCAGAAAAGTCTCCATCACAAGGCTTGACAAAATTCGCTCAATATCTTTTGGATTTCAATAACTCCGAGTGGGAGGACTCTGTGGATTTGCTCGCCGGCAAGGGCACGGGCGTGTTCGTCCTGCTCGCAGGGACAGCCAAAGGACTCTTTTAGGAAGCGACCCCATGCCGAACTCAGGCGATGCTGGATGAGGAATGCCTCGTGCCGAACGGCTCTGACCAAGGTCATGGGGGTGGTTTGAAACGGAGCTCACAGCACCCACACCTGGATATATAAACAAAATCAGAGAACCAAGAACCAGCACGAGATCTTGGACTTTAGTGTAGGAACTTTGTTGAAGAGCTTGCGAAGCTAGTGCTGAAAGCAAGTAGAGCAATTTCAGCAAATAGTCGTGCAAATTTGCAAAGTTGCACGGCCAATAGGCCCCGAAGCGTGTTGCCACAATAGCTGTTTTGGCTGAAGACTGATTTGTCACAAGGCTGGTACGGTAAGTTACCGACACTCAGTACCCATGTGGGCTGATCATACAGCTGAGTGCGTGGAGAAAGGTTTCCAAGAAGTGAAGAGAGATTGGAAAACCCGGGGTGAACAGGCACCACCACCAACAATTATGCCACCAAGTGTGCAGTCAACGGTCAGCACAAGCTTCCGGGTCCCCAGTTCAGCACCCGCTCCACCTGCACCTCCCACCAAAAACCAGGCAGCTCAATCTCCAGAGCGAGGGCATTCCAGTGCAAAGGCAGCTGCCAAGCACAGGTCAGAAACAGCAGCAAAGAAGAAACAAGAGCTGCAGCCAAGAACAGTTGAGCACCGCGGCAAGCAACGCGCAGCTGTTGCAGAAGCCTGGAAAGTAAAACAGAGGTACAACATTGCCTTCCAGTCATCCATGCTTGTTGTCATGGGCCAGCAGTCTGCTGGCAAAACATCATTCATCGAACGCTACTTGAGCTACGCCTACAGCGAGGTCAAGCGTGGCATGGGCACCATGCGGCCGGCAGTTCTAACTTGCCTTCCACAGGAACCCCACTTGGACGACGTCATTGAGGTCGCAGAGGAGCTTGAAACAGGTGGCCAGAGCCAAGTGGAAAGGTTTGAGGGTAGCGCAGCCCGCACCTACCTTCAGAATTGGACCATTGAGAAGAACAGGATTGGGAAGCCAAGCAAGAAGAAACTCCTGATCACTATATTCTCGAAGGAGTGCACGACTCCTAGGCGCATCATGGACATGCCTGGCATCCGCTCCAATGACGAAGATGGCAACGAAGGTTTCAATGATGCCATTGTGGAGATGGTCTTGGAGGAGTTGAAGAAACCAGATTCCATTGTTTTGTCCTTGGCAGACGCCAACAATGAACCAACCCTTGATCAATTGGTCACTCTCCTCAAGAAGCATCGTGCCACACTCCACCAGGTGAACCTTCACAAGCGCTTCCGGTTGGTCTTAACCAAATCGGACCAATGGTTCCGGGGCATCAGTGGAGGAAAGAAGGTGCAGGAACACTTGCGATCCTGGCAAAATGAGCTGTTCGGCTTTGAGCCCATGCTCATTGGCTCCACACTCGATCCAAAGCAGGCGGACGAAAGCCCTGAAAGTCGCACGCTGCAGTACAAGACAGCAGATGAAAGAGAGGCGAAGAGTGTGCAAGAATTTTGGGATGAGTCGTTAAAAGGTGAACTGGAACAGGACAAGGCCTTTGTGAAGTATTGGGATGAAAAGGTCGGCTTCAAAAAGGTTGTGCAGATTGTTGAGGACCATGCGTTGGACATGGATTTGGAAAAAGTCACGGTGATGATGCGAGAGATTCAGCTTCATCAAGATGATGTGAAGGTCCAAAGTCAGAAGATTGAGGTTGATTTGAGGAACAGTGACTCTCAGCAGCTCAGGTATCAGGGCTCATTGCTTGTGTCCGCTCTGGTGGGAGACACGAAGCGCTTTTCCACAGCTTCGACAGGTGCAGGTGCTGAGCTGTTCTTGTCGCACAGTGACACCCTAAAGGAGAACGCCAAGACATTGGAGGAGGAAGAAGCTGACTTTGAAGCAAAGCGGAGCGAATATTCACCCGATGCAATGCACAATGCTTTTGAGACTTCTGTAGGACGCACCATTGACTACACCAGATCAGACGAGCATGCCCCTGGCAATTTTGAGGAGTTCTACAAGGAGATCAAGGAAGACAAGGCTTTCATGACCAGTGTCCCGTTGAGTGCAAGCCGACTGACTGCTGGTGCCGCTGGCTATCGGGCGGGGCAGTTCTTTGAACGCATGGTCTTGCGATTCATGCACCCCGAGCCAGAAGATCGTGATCGCATCAACTGTGCCGGTGCAGTGAACACTGACTTCATGTTCTTGGACGATGAACTTACTCGGGTCTTGAAAGTATTGCAAATCAAGGCAGCAAAACTCCGAGAAATTGCGCTGTACTTTGTGCAAAAGACTTCTCACATGCAGATGATGTGTTTTTCCTATGCGTGGAGCAACATGCTCCGGAAGAAGCAGTTTCGACCTTTCATCGAATCCCTGGCCGCTGTGGCGGGTGAAGATCGGGTCTATGAGACTTTGCGCCTTGGCTTTCACAAGCAGCTTCTGGTGCATGCTCAAAAGGCCTACACGGACTGATCAATGACCATGGGGGTCTCATGCAGCGAGTTGGTGCTTTTCGGAAGGCTGAAGATCACCTCCAAGCCTGCGGTGTTCCGCGGGAAGTAGCCCAAGCCTCTACCAACCACTTGCAAGAAGCTTATAAGAAGGGCATGGAGGACTGCCTTGGACGTGAATTCGCAGAGGAATACCCTCATGCCCATTCAGGAGTCTTGGAAGGCTTGAAATGTGTCTCATCCTGCGGTTTCCACCCCGAAGTGCCAGGGCTCACACTCTCTTTCATCGAAAGTATGAAGAAACAGAAGATTTTGGAGGCTGAGACACAAGATGGCAGTGCTCAAAAAGAAAGTGCAAAAGGAAGTGAAGGGAGGGAGGCCATTGCAAACAGGCTGGACCACATGGACCCACAACATCAAAATGGCCTCCTGGGTTTCATTGCGGTCGTTTCCGCCTACTTCAATCCGGAATTCTCCAAGTGCGTTTTGTCACGCTGCCACTCGGGCTTTTTGAGTGCTTTGGACCACACCGACTACCGCCATGACTTCGAAGAGAGCATGCGCAAGGAACTCTTCGATGAGTTCATTGAAGATGAGGCCCTGCAGTCCCGCAAGGGCTTCCTGGAGGCTAAGTTGCAGGAACTGAAAGAGGCAGAGCGCGATTGCGAAGGAGCTTTGAAAAAGCTTCGCCAGCTGGTGAACTGCAAGTGAAAAGTGCAACCACACCAGTATTCTATGCGGGTGGCTCTTATGAGTACAGAGACACTTTGGACTATAAGTGGAGTCGACTTGGCAGATGTGGAAAAATTCATTGCTGTGTCCACTTGCGAAGATGATTTCAGGCTGATTTCCTTGTGCTTCCAAGTTTGGCAGCGTTCACGTCTCCTGCCCTTGGTCTGGCGAAACGAGTGTCGACGTTTCTCGCAGCCACATCAGGCTCAGGGTGGCTCATGACCAGGGTCTTCTGAAGTTTTGCTCTTCTGAAGTAAAGTGGCTTCGATGAAAGCTGGTTTGCGCTCATGGGAGTGTTCGACTTGTTTGATGCCCCTTCACCCCTGAAATTTGTTAGTGCCTATTTTGGCAGAGACGTGCTTTGCTTCAACTGAGGTCCGGAGTGCCATGGGGCGCAAGAATCGGGATTCTTCCGACAGCGAATCTGAAAGTGATCGCCGGGCGAAGGTGGGATTTGACGATCGGCCTAGTTACAGTAGTGGGGAGGTTTGTCCTCGCTCGCAGGAGAAGAAGGGGCGAAAGGATGACAAACGAAAGGCGCTGGTGCAAAGCTTTATGAGCATGATCCTGCATGAGCCCCTCTTCATTCCAAGCGTGTTGGCATCGTGTGCGAACCTTGCTTTGTGGCAGGACCGGCGCAGCCGTGGTCGAAGCAAGGAGAGGCGTAAGGAGCGCTCAGCCGAGAGGAAACCAGCGCCAAAGCGCGGTCGTGGGGTGCCAAGCAAGGTTTTGTGTGTGTGGTTTGGTTTGCTGCCACACCCCCTCAAATGTCCAGCGTTCCGAAGTGTTTGGATACATTATTTGCATTGTAGAATCCGTAGAACCATGACCCCTCAGAGCAACTGCTGGCAGAATTTTCATGAGGTTCCGAATCAGAGGATTCTGAATCCAAATCATCAGATGATGAGGAGGCACGCCTTCGAGTTTATTTGGGATCTTTTGGTTCCGTATCACATTTTCGTGCTTCTATTGCTCAGGAAATGAAGGAGTTCCTCCTCAGCACTGACATGCCAGAGGAGCAGCAGCATTGCTGTGTAGGGGGAGTTTCATTCCTCAACACATCGCAGATAAACGATTTGTTTGGTACCACGCCCAGGCTGAGGATTGACGACTATGTTACTGTAGTCAGAACTGGGGCCCAGTAGGATTTAAGTGGTTTGACCAGCTGAGTCGACCGCTCCCCGAGCAGAGGACCAGATGTTGTCAAAGATGATGGGCTTCAGTGCCTTCGACAGCTCCAAAGCAAAAGATCACAGTTGGACACCTAGACGAGAAATGGCACTCCTGAAAACTAACGAGCACGCATTGCCCGTTTCTATTTTTCAGAAACGTTGGAGCGGCTTTTTGATACACACGATGCCTGTTCAGGCACAAGCGACCTCAGTGATGTGAAACGAGCTACCAAGCGTCAGCATCTTAGGTTGCTATGCAAGCACTTGATGAGTCTCAAATGGCGCTGGCTGAGGTCAATACCGGCAGTACATGAACCGGCGTGGAGGTTTCAACCGTCCACTGGATGCTGCATTCTGAGCCTTTGGCTTTTGCAGGGAGGGCGCCCGGTTCGGGTTTCATTGGCACCTCATGGACAAATTGGATCTGTATAAGTAGACATTGTATGTCTATTGCACAAGGCTCAGTGTACCTTTGGTCTCTGTCAAACTTCGATGTTCAGCTTGTCTTCCTTGGTTTCTTCAATAAAAAGCTTGAAGTGCCCCAGCTGTTCTCAAGCGGGCGGGCTTGACCCTGAATACAGCACACAGACAGCCGTTGTCTCAGCATGGTTCATAAAGAGCTTGCCCTGGAAGCAAATGAGCTACCTTGCTGGCCAGAGTGGGAATATAATCAGCTTGTCCCATCCAGAGCGCCGCAATCGGAAAGGCTAGCGCGAAGGCGACAAAAAGAGGAGCGCTGCCAAAAACGGCGCCAGATACAGTCATTCGTGAAGAAAGGTATTCTCTTGTGTTTCCTTTTCTCTGCCGCTGGGACAGGCTACTGCAACAAGCTGATCAAGCAACACAAAGGTGAGAACCGGTGAAGATGTGCGGCACCTCATTTGAGCTGGCCAGCATCGGTTGCTAGGCCATCGTAGATTCGATGAGATCAAGACCAAGCCGACATGGCCGCTCGGCTCTTCAAATTGAGGCCGTGACTGAAGTTCTGGTGATTCTGAGCATGGTGGAAGTATTCTCTTGTTCTTTTTCTCAAAGGAGCGTCGACACGCTCACAGTGCTGTTTGGCCATGGCTGTCACTTTCATTTCTCGCCTGAGAAGGATGTTGAACTCATTTTGATTGCTTGAAGTCAAGCTTTTTGCTTGCGGAAACGTCTGCTCAATGATGATGTCGGCAGGTTGTCCCTGCTGGACTCCTATCAGTTATCAGTGTTTGACATGTTCTTGTGGACTGGTCTATACATCTCAACCTGTTTGCATGTTTCTCATCTATGATGTGATTTAATGATCGAGTCGTTAAAGTGGTGTCATGTCATTGCACGATCTTTCTGGGCTTTCATCTCTTCTTTTGGAAGACTCTTCCCTTTGCCTCCAAGGTCCTTTCCAGCTTTGTAGGGCTGTAGCGCTGGAGATATTGCGCACCTGCTTGCAGTAGCATAATGAGGAGAAGATGGGACAAGCTGAATGGACCAATGAAAGTGTGCAAGCTACTTGCACCTCATTCAAGATGATCGAGAAGTTTACTCCGGTGGACCTTTCCAAGAATCACGAAGATTGATGAAGAAGCAAAGTGACAAGTTGCTTCAGAGCCAATCCGCAAGAGTCTGAAGAAGAAGAAGAGGAAGAAGAAGAAGAAGAAATAGTATATAGTAGAAGAAGAAGTAGTAGAAGAAGAAGACAGAACGAAGAAGACAGAACGAAGTCATCTACAGAATTGCTTTCACCACCGCGTGGCCCGCAGCTAGGAAAGGTGGCGGCTGTGTCAAGGTCGTCCAACCGGATCGTCTAAACGGATCAGAATTGGGAATTGGAGGGGAGCTAAACACCCTGGCTCCCCAAGATGCCTTTCCCCAAGAGCACTACTGGGCCAGCGCTTCATCTCAAGCTTGAGCACGAGGGAGCTAGATTCTGCAATTTTATTTTCAGCCATGCATGGTTTGGAAGTTCAGCTTATTTATGCATGCAGAGACAGCTCAGGTTCGTGATCAAGCACTTTGTGGTTCTGCCATGTTTTTTGGGAAGCGGGTTGCCTGAGGAGAGCAAACCATGTTGACTAACATCCTGCTTCAACCTTCAAGCGTTACTCTTGATGTGTGTTTCTTTCTTGAGGGTTCTGGGGCATGCATGCAGGCTATGTTGACACATATGAGGGTCATGTCGCAGGCAGGTCCCGTCAGCTACTGCACCGATTCCTTCCTGGACAAGAACCGCGACCAGCTCAGCACGGCCAGACTGACCAAGTTGCCATTTGCGAATGTGAGTAGTTGTAGCACTACAACACTTGTGTGGGGTTGATGCCACGAGTGCTCCCATAGCGGAGGCAGTCAAAACTTTGCACTGCAGGGCATTGGACCTTTTTGAGCAAGTTTCCTGCAGCATTTGCCAACTTCAACTGTGTGAAGCAGCTGAAGGGTAGCCATTGGATAGGCTGGCAGCTGTGCCATGCGGGGCCAAGCTATACTTTAGCTTACTTTAACTTAGCCTTGCAAACAGTTGAAACAAGCTCCAAGGTCATACAAGTCAAGTGTAGTTGACCATAGCTCCTTGTGGCGCCTATCGTAGACCTCTGACTACCAAAGCTAGATTGGCTGCTCCGGGGGCGGATGTGCCCTACAAACAGCCAAGCAACACACTCGAGTTTAGCACCACAACCCCCCCCAGAGCTAACAGAAGATTTGCATTCTGCCATGGCGAAGCGTCGGGGCAGAACCAGCAGAGGTGTTGGGAAGGCCAGGTGGTTCAACGTCCCTTTGCATTAGATTCTGAGAAACACAATTGCACGAACGGGACGGAGCTTCTCAAGGGTGTTGGGTCGGTGAGCCTGCCAGGATGTTGGAGCATCCCAGGGGAGCCAAAAGGATCAAAAAGATAGGGAGGGCCCCCAAAGACGGCGGCGAAGACGAGACAAAGGAAAAGAGAGCAGAGGCGCCTGTCAGCAGGTTCATTCTGTTTAGCGACTTTGCGCACACACAGAGGAGCTGAAATTTTCACTTTATGGTATGACTCTATGACTATGACACCGTTCTTTCCCAGCTTTCCGCTGTTTCCTCGATTTGATGAAGTCGTTTAGTGCGAGGCCAGGAGCAAGGCCTCTCACTCGAGAAAGTTACGCAACAGCTGGCAGCTTCACACAAAAGTTTAGAGTGGATCAAATCCTGGGGAAATTTTTGGTTTCTTACACTACACTGCTTGGCGAACATTGGCCCTCCAAAAGTTGTAGCTAGCGAGGCCTCAAGCCTTCATTCTCCAAGGATTTCTATTTCAGCGACGCGAACTTGCGGCGGGACCGTTACATGAAGCGGACGGTGGATGACGCCGAAGGTGGCTTTCTCACTCTGGACTCGCTCTTGAGCTTTAACCGCCTCAAGGTGCTTCACTGTGCGCCAAACACGGACGGAGCGGTATCTCGACATAACACGAATCTCCCAAGATCTCCAGTAGAAAGGACATATGAAAGTGGTTATATGAAAGTGGTTGTTGTCCACAGTCTTTCGCGGAGACGCCTTTGATGCTGGCCTCCCAAGGTCTCCACCATCTTAGACCAGGACCACTCTGACCGGACTGGGGCTGACATACTACTAGGGGCAAGGACGCTACTAGGGGCTCCTGACACCAGTGTTTTAAACCGCTTGGATGGCCACGGCCTTTCGCAAAAGTCACCGTCGGTCCCGCGAGGCCTTGGGAGTGACCAGCGCCCAGCAGCTCGCGGAGGCGGTGCGACGGTCGCAGCTCTTGGAGTTGGACGGCTCCGGCGCGCGGGTGAGGCGCTGGTGAAACCAGTTGAGAGAGGGAGTCGGAGTGGAGGGGAATGCTGTGCAGTTGCTCCAATCAAGCCACTCAAAGCATGACATCCACTATTCTGACCTTGGATCATGACTGTGAGTTGTTTGGGCACAGGGTGCCCAGCTGTGGTCCTGTGACTGGTCTCAAGCGACAGGCGTGACTTTCAGAAGCACCCTCTTGGAACCTACGATGCCATCTCCAGGACCTTATACGTCGAAGGCAGGCTTTTACCAAGAGACCGAACCTCCCACCAAGGAAAGCGAAGTGAGTTGCGCAAGGCTGCATTTACCATCCATTTGTTAGGCTGTGCGGCTGTTTGAGAGGCTTGCCTTTGACATTTGGGATTGACGACTTGACGACGTTCTTCTCGGAGTATGGGCAGGCACAAGCTCGCCACAGTTTTACCTAAAGCTCGGATGTTCCAATGTCGATGAGGGTTCTTTCTCTTTCTTTCTTTCCTTCCCCTTTCCCTCTCTTTCTCTCTGGATTGCTCAACGTCGACATTCTTGCCGAGTTGCTCTTCAGTACCTCAGTCTGGCTGGATTGGGTTTTGAGGTGAAGCTTCTAGAGCTGCCGCATCATCGAGAAACGCGAGAGCCGCGTGGCTTTTGCTTTGTGGAGTTCGCCTCGAGCCAGGAGAGTGCGGGAAGAGAGCAGAGTTGGGTTGAATGAGTTCCCTTGCCCATTCTAGGACAGTAAGGGAAGCAGCTATGCTCCCCCAAATGCTTTTGGGTTTTTGACCTGCCAGGAGGCAGATAAGGCGCTGGCGAAGTGTAACGGCCTTTGGCCGCAGGCTTGGCCCCAGCGTTATGATGGCAAAACAGTCAGAGCCATGCGGAAAGCTGACTGGCACAAGCAGTGTCGCACCCTGACATTTCATGGCAAGAAAATGGGTTCTAGTGAATTGGGTTCGGTCCCTTTTAAAGCCTTGCTGTTGGTCGTGGGCCCCAAGGTTGAAAAGGCCGATTTTGTTTCAGCGATCTCGGTGGGGAGTTTTAAATTTTAGCGACAGCGACCGAGGAGAGTACAAAACTCTACAAGCAGCTTCACGTGGGCCGAGTTTCCAGGGAAAGCCCAAAGAAGAGGTACCCAAAACAAGGCCGCGGAAAGATGCGGAAGCTTCTGAAGCGGAGACGAAGAGCAAGCCAAAGCCATCTCAGAGACCAGGATGTGTGGTGAAAATCACGGGGTTGAAGGATGCTGAACATGTGATAAATATGCAAAGCATCCGACACTATGCAGAGCACGCAGTGGCAGTTGAGTATTGCGACTACCTGCCCTCCTTATCTCTAGCTTATTTGAGGTTAAAGTCTCCCGAGGACTGCGTGACACTTCTTGAAGATGTGAAAGCAACCGGACGTCTGCTGGGCTGCGATCAACCGAGCGCAGAGGTTCTGGGACCAGACGAGGAGGAGAAGTACTGGCAAGACGTGGTGGAGCGACATGCATCACGGGACGAACAGAGTGGCAAGTTTGTCATGCCTCCATCAAGTGTAAGACGAGAACGAGAACACATAGTTTCCAGAATTCGGCGGTGGCGCCCCGTGACATCTTCGTCCTCTAAATTCAAGGCAGGCTTTACAGACACGGCTGGCGGCAATGCTGACTTTGTCCCGGCCGGCTTTGGCAAGAGTTATCGTAAAGCCAAGAAAATCCCCAAGGTGATTCCACCCCGTAAGCGACGCGACGTCCCAGACGAGGACGCGAAATCCCGCAAGGCGCTCCCAGCGGTTCCCCCGCCCAGCCCGTTCCAACTGCCCGGGACGACGCGGAAACGGCGGCTCCCCGGTGCGCTGCCTCCACCCAGTCCGGCGCATGCGTTCCCACCCCCCAGCCCAGCGATTGATTCCCTCTCTCCGGACTCAGATCCCACCATGTCCCCTGAGGTGGATCGAAAACATGCCAGTCCAAGTGGAGATGGGGAGGATGCCAGTCAGGCAACGCAGGAGGATGGGCCTGGGGATTTAGATGACCTGGATCCTGATTTGGTGATGAGCGTGATGGAAGATTTCAATTGACTTGAGTGGCAAAGGTTGAGCTGCGCATTCCTTCCACGCTGTCCATGCTGTGAGCCCCCCCATGCTTCAGGCATGTGAGATGGTGCCACGGGACGTGCCAATGATGGAACCTTGGCAGCAACCGAGAAGAAAAACAGCTGGATTCGGCTCCACAGAGAGTCGTTTCAGGATTCGCCGATGCAAGGGAGGTCCAAAAAAGAGTGCAGGAAACACATGAATTGTGACTTTGATCCAACATGGATTGTGCTTTGGAGTCATGTCTTCTCTACAGGAGTAGCAACTCAGGTCGTTCTAGAAGGTTGGTAGAAGTTTGAGACACAAGTCGTCGTGCCAGGATTTGATAGAGTGTGTGGGCAACAGCTCCAACCAGCATGGAACCCATTTGGGGGGTTGTAGCATCACAGCAGCGTTTTGTGGTTCTGTGGTGCAACCATGCCGCTATCCGCTTTGTCAGGTTTGTAGCCAACCTTTTCAGACGTGACCCCAAGTTTGCAGATGCGTTTGTCAAGGAGGAGGACCGACACAGGGAGATTACAGCAAATTTTGATGCCACCATCATTCCACAGGATTGGAAGAGTGTCGAATGAGGCGCATGACAGTTTTATTTATGATCATGAATGATATGACATGGCTCAAGGTATACAGTAGGTTGACTAGGACATAGAGAAAGCGAAGGCACTTCGATGGGCTATCCCTGAGAGCTGCAATGCAGGTGAATCGCATAGCCAACAAGGTGACGAAATCGTATTTGATGGATCCATATGCAATGCTGATGCATTATAAGAGGGCGTTCAAGCTTATGGAGGTGATGAAACAAAACTCGGCCAAGGTGCTGATCCTTGGAAACAAGAATCAATTTGGTATTGACTGGAAAGGTCGCTTTGAAGGCATGGAATTTGACACTGGTGTGGTTGATGGAAAGCTGATCTCAGCTGCTCCGAAACACTATCAAATGATCCTTTGTTTGGACCCCGTCCTTTACTGTCGTGCCCTGCATCGAATCAACTTGCCGGTGATGATGTGCGCGTCTCTACGGGAGATCACAGAGCATCCGGAGATCCTTGATGTTACAGACTACCTTTTGCCTTTCCCAACCAGGCGGCATGATGCCGCCCTCCGTGAAATTATAGGCAGCACGTTGGATGTGCCCAAGGATGGTACAGCACAGACCAACGTCCCAGCGCGGCAAGAGTGGACACATTTGGCCTCAAGTGCTCGAAAAGAGCAATAGGGATGAGGATCTAACAGCACATCGACTGTGTACACAGACGGAACTTGGTGGTCAGAGCACCTCAATTGTTTGCCGAGCTAGATTTGCAAGCTTCCATTTCGAAGCTCCTTTTCACACTGTCTCACCAGTGATTGTAGTATGTCAGAAATGACCGGCGTGTCGGCAAGTTGGTATTCTTCCCGCGCCATGTCAAGTAATATTGGTTTGCCTGACCTTCAGCTGTCAGTTGCGCCGGTCCAGGACAAGGCCAAAACCAAAAAAAAGAAGTACACAGCCACGAGCTCAAGAGCTTTTGACGGGGAAGCGCCAAGAGAAAGAAACACACACACAAACACACGCACTCAAGATTACGCGTACGGAAATTGAATGCCACTCACCCCACGGTGACCTAGGTATAAACGCCTAAGAAAATCGAGGACACGAGTAGGTTGGAGGCCATCGCTCTTAAGTTAGAGGCCATCGAAAGCAGGTTGAAGGGCCATCGCTAGTGGGTTGGTGACATGAAACTGCAAGACAGCCAAAGCTGGAGGTCAACGCTCTTAGGTTGGAGGCCATTGAAAGCCAGTTGAGGGGCATCACCAGTAGGTTGGTGACATGAAACTGCAAGACAGCCAAGATTAGGGACCATCGCTGGTAGTTGGAGGCCATCGCAGTCAGGTTGAAGGCCCCCGCTACATGTTTGGAGGCCCACCTGAAAACCTATACTAAACACCTCCTGGAACAACATCAGGCACATGAATCACCATAAAGCAAACCAAGGGACCACAGCAACCAATCATCAGTTCAACTACAGCAGGTACACAGTCTCTGACTGCTTCCCATGACATCACTAGCTTCGTTGGCCAGCGTCGTGATGCCATGCGCTGGCCCTCTGCTGGGAAAATCTACGGATTCCTTGTGACAAGGGTTCCACACACGCACACACTTATAGATAGAGCATTGGCATACGGACACTTATGCGGTTTGCCACACGCCAATCTAGGCAAAAAAATTGCCTGAGTAAAACGGCAAAGGTAGGTTAGAGGCCATTGTTAGAAAGCTGGAGGCCATCGCCCAAGTTTGAAGGCCATCACTAGTGGGTTTTGTGCACAAACATAAAGCCACATCAAGCAACAAGGTTAGAGGTCACCAGGTTGAGGGGGCCAGCGCTACTGGCTTACAAGAGACAACTTGAAAACAGCATCAAATAACAAGGTTGGAGGACATTGCTGGTACGTTGGAGGTCAGCGCGCCAGGTTGGAGGCCAGCGCAATTACTAGTTCACAAAACACAAACTCAAAACACTCAAAACACATCAAGCAGCAAGGTTGGAGGTCATCATAAGTTGGAGGCCGCGGCACCGGGTAGGAGGCCAGCATTACAGGTTTTTGCAAGTAGGTGGAAGGGAGCGAGAGAAATGAGTCGCTTGAAGTAGATAGAAAGGAAATAACGCCTCCTGTTTTGTAGCTAGAAAGGCAAGAGAGGCCTCCTGTTTATAGCTACGGGGCTAGACTGACGAATCGCCACATTAGAGTAGAAAAGGACAACAGAAGGAAAGGATCTGTTATCCGGTAGGTACGTGAAGGTACATCGGTGGGCGTCCCCACCGACATCAGTGTTCAATGCAAGCCTCTTCCTTGGGCTGGTGCTTGCAATGAACAACCAGCCCCCCTGCTGAAAAAACGATAGCAACTCCAAACGGATGGTGATTCCAAGGGCTACACACACTCATGGATATGCGTACTGACTTGACAGCGGTGCCACACGCCGGCCTAGGGTTCCATTTCCTAAGAGTACAGGTAAGGAAACCTAAAAAGGAAGAGGAGGTCCATCCGGCGGAGGTCCCAAAGGTTTCAGGAAATACCGATCGAGCGGACGACAAGGTGACGACGTGCGTGCAGAAAAGCCAAGTTCATCACCGCTGCAGTAGCCCTTTACTGAAGGAAACAACGAAGTAGACAGCTTGTGCTCTACGTAGGTTTCTCTTCAAGCAGGTACGTCAATCCGGCGTCCCGGATTGATTTCACCAGCACACATCCAGTGTCTTCGTTGGTGCAAGACCGGATGGGCTGCTTGCACCCCCTGCTAAAATCCGAAAGGATCCCTATGATTCCAAGGGTTACACACACACGCCTCCCCGAAGGGAGGCATGTGTGACCTCCATCCTGCCCGGAAAGGAGGTAGGCACATGTGCACGCAAAAGAGACAGATGAAAATGAAAAGGACAAGACAGACAAAGGTGTGTGTGGTTGCCGATGAAAAGGAACCAAGTGAAGAGGGACAACCGATGAGCCAAACCTCATTGTAACGAACCTGGGCCACCTGAACCTTGCGGTAAGTAAAGTACGCGTGCGTGTATGTGTACAAACTAAGGTCCAGACGAGAGTGCGCGCAAGAGAAAGAAACGATGAGGATGAAGAGACATGAAGACAGAAAGACATGAAAGAAAAGAGGAAAAAAACGGTCTGTGGGGGCCGATGAAAGGGGAACCAAATGAACGGGGACAAACCGATGACAAACCAAACCTCATTAGAAAAACCTGTTGCAGAAGCCTAGTTTGCTTGTAAACACGCCGCGCGCGAGGAAAGAGGGGGCAGGGGGAGGAAGAAAAGAGAGGGAAAGAAAGAAAGAGACAAAGGTGCTCCCAGCTACGACACATGCGTCCAGGGACACACCAAAAAGAAGGGCTCCCAGCTATGACGAAGCATCCAGGGACACCCAGGGAGGAGGGTGAGGAGAGGAAAGAGAGAAGGAAAGAAAGAGGAGAGAGAGAGAGAGAGAGAGAGAAAGGGAGAGGAAAGGAAGGTGTTCCCAGCTACGAACAATCGTCCAGGGACACACCCAAGAAAGAGAGGGGTGATCCTGAGTATTGCATTCAGGAAAACCCCAGAAAGCAAAGAAAGAAAGGGGAAGGGAAGGGGGAGAAGGGGGGGCTAAGTGCCCGACAGGTCCCAATGGACCTTGAACAGACTTTGGTCGCTGCGACCACGTACGGCTTGCCCGAAGGCTGCCACCTTTGACCGCTACGGTCACGTGAAGGCATGAGCCAGCTTGGAATTCCAAAGATGAGACATAAATCATCGGACGTACGGCCTAGGCCACCTACGCTCGCTGCGAGCTGCTCTGTATCCAGGCAGTGGATACGTTCGCACTCATGGATATGCGTACTGACTTGACAGCGGTGCCACACGCCGGCCTAGGGTTCCATTTCCTAAGAGTACAGGTAAGGAAACCTAAAAAGGAAGAGGAGGTCCATCCGGCGGAGGTCCCAAAGGTTTCAGGAAATACCGATCGAGCGGACGACAAGGTGACGACGTGCGTGCAGAAAAGCCAAGTTCATCACCGCTGCAGTAGCCCTTTACTGAAGGAAGCAACGAAGTAGACAGCTTGTGCTCTACGTAGGTTTCTCTTCAAGCAGGTACGTCAATCCGGCGTCCCGGATTGATTTCACCAGCACACATCCAGTGTCTTCGTTGGTGCAAGACCGGATGGGCTGCTTGCACCCCCTGCTAAAATCCGAAAGGATCCCTATGATTCCAAGGGTTACACACACACACACACACGCCTCCAGATTGGGGAGGCAGAATTCGTCTACCGTGCATTTGTGAAAAGAAAGAGGACGAAACGGGACAAACACGTATGTAAAAGGAAACCAAATGCACAGGAACAAAAGATGAACCCCACCTCATTGTCAGAACCTGGCTTCAAACTTGCAAGCCAGAGGCCCCCTATGAGTCCAATGGCTCATACACACACACGTGTTCACCTCCATAGGACAAGCTCAAAAGAACCCAATGCCGCAAGAGTTCAGAATGCTTTAGCCCTCCAAAGCAGCGTCCCGTACTGCATTACCAGAGTAGTGCAAGATGACCTCAAACCTGTCCACAAACCTGAGAAATGGGGACCGACAGGGACCGATGACAACATGATGATATAACTGTTTCTGCATCGCAGATGGCAAGTGCAGGTACACGGATCAGCGTCCCAACCCGTTTCACCGAGTATCAGCAGCAGAACTGTGAACTCCTTGTCCCCTGCTGGTTCTATACATTTGGAAGTGTTGAATTAATCAACAAGCCCGAGCCCCCCCCCCACACAGATACATACATACATACATACATACAGACAGACAGACGGACAGAGACAGAGACAGAGACAGAGACAGAGACAGAGACAGAGACAGAGACAGAGACAGAGACAGAGACAGACACAGAGACAGACACAGAGACAGACACAGACACAGACACAGACACAGACACAGACACAGACACAGACACAGACATAGATAGATAGCTAGGTAGCTAGGTAGCTAGGTAGCTAGGTAGGTAGGTAGGTAGATACATAGATACATAGATACATAGATAGCTGATAGATGATTATAGGGGATTATAGATGCACATAAGCAAGCAAATAACATGTTTATATGTATCATATACCTGTATTTGTTTGCATTCAGGTCTCATCGGAGTTCAAAGATCAGCTCTCCAGCCTTATGGTTGAAGACTTAGCTATCGAAGCCGTTGGATGTGCACAGTTGAGCCGGTCCCTTACCCCCTTTTTGTTTCATCATGGATGTGTGAGGACGTGGTTGATTTGACTGAGCCTCACTTCATCCGATGCGTCTATCTTAGCATGCTGAACATTGGTGGCCATTTCATGCCCTCATGTGGAACTTAATGGTCGGGGAAGGGTGACAAATAATTTGATCAATTCTTTTATCATCGGACTTGACCCTGTGTCGTAGGCATCAAGCCGAACCCACAGAACGTTCCTGACCTTTTCGATCGCAAGGCAAGTCGAGAGCTGTGGACTTGGAAACTTAGTTTTCGGTCTGCATGTTTTATTGCCTGTGGACGGGGTTTGGTTTCACATCGCTGGACTTACATGACCATAAACAGTGCAGACCACGATTCCAGACAGCTTCAGGGGGTGACGGAGCAGCTTCGCTACGGTGGTGTTTTGCAAGTGGTGCAAGTGAGTCCGAATCCTGGTGATGGTCACTGGTAACGCGCGCGCAGGGAAGCGGGGAGCGGAGAGGCAAGGCAGTGAAGGGTCAGGTCAACAGTGACATGTCGTGCTGACCCCTCAGGTCGTGCTGGCTATCCAGTACGCATCAATCATCAGGATGGGACCACAGACTTTCCCCGATGTGGCCATGGCTCGGGTGACCGTGTGCAGGAATGTTGGGATGACTACAAAGTCATTGGTGCCAGCAAGGTGGTGAACGAACTCAGGCACATTCAGGAGCCTTGCGGCAAAAATGCTCAAAATAGGGCTTCCCTTATCTGATGAATGCCTGCTGGTCAATGGTTTTCGGTGTCCTCCCACCAGGATCCAAAGATTCGTGCCAGCTTCTCAGTTTCAGCTGAGAGACTCTTGACAACTTGACAGGGGAGCCTTATAAGCCTCCCTGATCGGCGTTAGACTGTGCTGCCTAATGAGGCTCAGAAGCTGCTGGATCATTTGGATACCGAATTGAACATCCCCAAACCAAAGCGCCACGCCCAGATGTGGAGGGGAGTAGGCACAGGCTGTGCAAACGTTTCACACCTTTGGGTGTGGTCATTCAATGTCATTCACTGATTGGTTTGGCTGATTTGCCAAGGCATGGGCAATCCTGGGCAGTCGGCAAAACTTTGGTTTTCTTCAAGCTTCCAGCATACGTACTTTGCTTGAAATTTGTACGGTCAGAGAGAGGAAGAGCCACCCGAGAGACAAATGTTTTGTTGCTCTCCCAAGCGGCTCGGAATCATATTGAGACGTCCGTAGGAGAGCTACGTTTTGTGCTTCAGCGGGCCATCTCCCGCTTTGTCTTGTGCCATGTAGAACGAGACACTCAACATCTCATGTCGCAATCGCGCCTTTCCCAGCCTAATATTTCTCAGGAGCGCATCAAGTTTGCTCGCCGGGTGCCCAGATGTGCGTTTGACCTGCTGGGGAGTCGCTGGGAGCTTGAAGCCGCAGCTGCCAGCCGCAGCTGTCCACATGAGTCATGTCACATGAGTATTTCTGCTGGATTTGCTGTCAGTTTCCGCATTTGAAGGGGGGCACTACAACTGGAAGTTCAGAACATGTTAGGGGCCACTACATTTGGAGGGAGCCACTGCATTAGGAGGGCCTTGGATGTGCTTTAGATTGTAGACATTCTCAGACCCCTGAGCATCCGGATCCATGACATATGACCACAATTTAGTTCGCTCTGCTTCTTGCGCTCCATGCAGAGAGCTTCATGATGCTTCATGTATCCTTCGCCAAGCAAAGACCTCAAGGAGGTCATTGGCCTCAATGAGGTGCTTGACGCAGTGCAAGAATTCCACAAGCTTTGGTTTCCCGATTTGGAACAGCCAGACGGCATCCAAAGCTTCTGGTTTGGGGCTCGGCGCCCTCGTGATCGAAAACTCTTCAAGGTCTTGCAGCAGAAGCTGATTCTCGGTGAACGTGGCTCAACCCCCTGAGAGGTCGCCGTCCTTAGAAATGCCTCTTAAAGCAATTCACCATATCCCCAGAACAGGGAACAACAACTAAACTTCTTGATTACATACTTGCGCCTGCGAGCCCTGGCGTGGTGGAAACCCGTGTCGACACGGCTGCTCTCACCGACTTCGCCTTGTGTCCGGATTCAACCGGACACCGCCGGGTGCAAGACGTCTCGTTCGATGTGCGGTATCTCGATATGCTTGGCTTTGTAATTGTAGCTACTTAGTGCTTGGTGCATCTTGGTACTGCGATACTGCGATACATTCTCTGTTGGTAGTGCGGGTGGCATGCTTCATGTTCGATCATTTGGAATTATATATATATAGTATCCTTTTTTGAGTTGGTTGCCATTGATGTACACGCTGATCGTCCAAAAATCCAAAACCATTTGAGGAACGCCCCGCTGCGTGCCGCCGAGCAGCTCTTGCGGGATTCACCACCACCGACGATGCTGACCATGGAGCAGCAGCTGCGGCTGGCGGTGTTCTTGGACCAACAGTCGAGGAACGAGCGTGCCGGCGGAGAAACACCCGAGGTCGAAGAACTGATCCGATGCTGCTCCAGCCTTGCGCGAACGCTGGCAGATCAGATCCTCGGATCGTGTAAAACCTGTGAGGCCATCTTGGAAAGCACGGGTGCATCACACGCGCAGTTTTGCTTCTTCACGCTGGTTCTTCGGCATACCCAAAAGCTGGAAGATGTGGTAGTGGCTCAAAATTTGCTTCAAGAACTGCAGGCATTGTCTGACACCGACTTGGTGAAGGCTTTTCTGAAGTATAATTCTGAGGCACTTCTGCGTTTACAGTCTTGCGCGTATGTGGAGGAGGCAATTCACCAGCACTTCCCAGAACAACTTCGCTCCAGTCAAAAACCGATGTTTGATCGGTGTTTGGCTCCAAGGTGCTTGGGTGATGATTTTGCGTCGCGATGCTTGTCTTGGCTCCACGTGGGGTGGCGTGCTTGGGCCAGCCATCTCATGGTGCAGGAGCTGCAACAGAGCCTTGATCGACAAGGCTTGCTGAATTCATCCGCACATGTGTTACTCTCTTATTCTGGAGGGGTTGATAGCACAGCCCATCTTCTTCTCCTGAGGGCACTTCGTGAGTGCTGTCCCGATGCCCCAAGCATCTCTTGCTTACTCTTGTCGTATCCAAATCGTGAGGCGGATGAAGTAGAAGCGGAGAAGCAGTGGGCTTCCTGGATTTGTCACCAGCTTGGAGTTGATCTTTTTGTTTACGAGGTGCGCCTTGCCCGTCCTCACCTGGATGCAGGGGACGGAGTCTTTGGGGTGACGAGGGAGGAATATGAACGCTGGACCAAGGAGATCCGTTTTCGGATGTACCGATGCCTCCTTGCCCCTCACCAAGGGCGAAAGGCCGTGATTCTGGGTCACCACCAAGATGACGTGGATGAAAATCGCCTGGATCACTTGATGAAGGGACATGTCTTGGGTGATGTGGAGGGCATGTGGGCCTGGCGCGAGATTCACGAGGTCCAACTCTTCCGTCCCCTGCTCCATCGCCGCAAGGCCGACTTCATCGCCCTTTTGGAGGAGTTCCCCACGCCGCACCTGCGGGACTCCACGCCGGGCTGGTCGGTCCGGGGCTCCACCCGAGCGGCTTTGGATTCCTTGCCGTCGGAGACGCGAGGACGGCTGGTCTTCGCCTTGAAGGATTTTGGGTCTTTGAGTCGTGAGGTGGGTCAGGAGCTGGACATGGCCATAGAGCTTTGGGCTCAAAGCTGCACCCATCAGCTACAGCTGCCACGTGGAGCCACTGGTATCGCTTTGGACCTCAAGGCACTTTGGGCTTTGCGAGTGGGTGAGCGGCTGGCGGAGGTCAAAGAACTGATTGCAACGATCCGTGAGATTTGGAACCCTTTGGTGACCTCGAACGCTTTGAGCGTGATTCCCGAGAACTTCTCCGACATCCCCTGCTTGCTTTTCGAGAAGGGCTTTTTCGCTGCGGCTGAGAGCTTGGTCTCTAAGCGTCCGGACCATTACCATTCATCGCACGGGTCGTCGGTCAATCGAAAGGCAGTGCGACATTTGTATGAAAACATCAGGGCCTGCCTAAAGCCCCACTTTGCGGGTGGCCTCACTCAAGAGTGGCTCAGCTTGCATTGAATCCCTTTTTTTTTGGTGGAAATTCATGTCCAATCGCTGAGATTAAAAGATTGCTGCTGATGTTCAACGAGGTGTTCTCAAAGCCTCCACACCTTGACCAACTGTTTATTAATTCCACCAATGTGTTTCCATGTCCTTTTCAAGACCTGAGCTTGTGCATTGTCACCTTCCTGGCACTCCCTCTCAGGCTGGGGTATCTACATGTCACAGATTGCCAAGTGCTAGTGCTCTATGACGCTTCGGCGCATCCGGATGTGGATTTCAAGACGATGCGAACCTCCATCGTGGCCAGCGTTTGCGCCAGCATGTCCTCCGCGAGCAAAAAGGAAGACTCTTCGCCTCGCGGTTTCGGCATGCTGAAGGAAAGCAGACTCCAATTTACTCCAATTAGCCAACTGATGACGCTACTAGTAACATCTAGTAACAAGGGCATCTTACTAGTAGCTAGAAGCCGACTGAAGCTGACTGAAGCTGACTGCCGGAAAATGGTGGCTCTCTGTGATGGGCTCTCCAGGCCTTGAACTGGTCATCAAGAGCACCACCATGATCCAGGTGCGGGTTAGAACGGTGGCCTCGCCGAGCGCTCCGCTTATACGCCGAGCGCAAGCCGCAAGCTGTTTGAAGGCCAATTGGCGTGGCAAGGTTCGCAGGCGTATGCAGGGCACTTAAGGAGGGGGGTGCCCATGACAACTTGTTGAAAGGGGGAGAAATTCATCGCCAATGCCCAGGTACATTGCCATCCGCTTGTTCACACGCCATGCTTGGACCTGAGATGCTTGAGGTACCCCAACAAATAGATGAACATCTCGGGTCCATATATTTGTGATTATTGGTCCACATTTTGGAACAGTCATTGGCGGATGCTCAGGTCCAAGCGTTGCTTCGATCCAAACAAGCTCTGAACTTAGTGAGATGAGAGCAGACATTGACACACAATTGTTTCAAGGGCCATTGTGACTAGTGCAGACCCGTCCCTTTTGACTTATGTCACGTCTATATAAATGCCTTGCTTTACATTTCTGTCGGTTCCAAAAAGTTGTTGCAACAGGCACGGGCAGATCTGTTTCAGAGAAGGCGGGTGGAATAGTTGTGATACTCAGAACGTTCCGGAATCAACTTGTAAAGCACTCTTTTGGTCAGGAGTGAGGACAGCGCCAGGAAGATCCAAGCCCATGCCAGATCGAAGATTGTGTTGCCCCAAGACATCCAACCTCAGTTGGTCGGAACAAAAGCTCCGCTTCAAAGGCGAAGACGAAGTACCAGAGCATCCGCCAAAAGGTCATCCAGCAGAAAACAGGATCATCGAATCAAATGGCATCAATCGATGTGATATCCTGTGATCATGTTTGGCAAGTTTAGTTCAGTGGACGTGTCGAGGTCATCAAGATCCAGGCGGTGTGGCATGGTGTCCTTGGTCGACGCTATGCCAAGGATTACAAGACACATGTGAGTGCCACCAAGTGAGGGACCCGGGGCTACCTGGCGCCTGGCCTCGCCACTGCCTGCTGGTGACCAGGTTGCAAAGCTTGGTCCGGAAGCAAAGGGAACAGAAGATCTACGATGCTTTGAAGCTACGCACTCAGCGCATGGCCACACGGGCTACATGCAAATAAATGATGTGAGCAAGACCGTTCCTGTTACGCACTTGACTGAACCTTCAACTGTCACAATTGAGGCATTCCATCATTTTTGCTCAGCAGCAGACGCCTTGTTCACACTTTGTGAGTGAGAGAAAGACAAAAGGGCCGACCAACAGATTCCACCTTCCTTCCGAGGCGTTTGCGCATGCGGAATGCCAAGAACCAACTGAAAAAGCTCAAGCAGGAAGCCAAAGAGGTCACTGACCGATACGCCGAGACCGAACGAATGGGACCGGACCGGATCTGGGGCAGGTTGGTGCAATGATGGCAAAGGCTCAAAAGGCAGCGGAGCAGGCACAAGTCTGCCGGATTTGCCCTTAGGTTGGAGGCCATCGCTATTAGGTTGGAGGCCATTGATTTGTTGTTCTCGTGCCTGTCACCTTTACTGTAAGCCTTTGGCGTCTTCTTTGCTTTCATTGCTTGATCTTGGCGACATTAATTGCTTTGACGCTCGCAGTGCCATGGATAGAACTTCGAATGAGAGGCATCTGAACTCCGGAAGCACAATGAAGAGTTGGAGGTGCGGTCCGGTATTAATTTACTGCTGACCTTCCAGTGATTCATGGGTTGAAGTCGGGTTCGAGCTGTAGTCTCAGATAGATGAACGAGCACGGGCTTCTCAAAGAGTCTCTCAGGCCCACCAGCTTCAGCTGCAATCAGAGAACAAGACCCTGTCACACAAGGTGAAGCAGCTTGAGGACACCAAGTCTTGTATTGAGTGAGCTTGTTGCAGAATCCTTTCTTGAGATTGTCATATACTGTAGAATGTTTGCAGGAGGCGCTTCACCAGATGCAACAACAGTTCGAGGACATCCTGCATTGTCCTTTGCAGTTGGCAAACGGCAGCATATAGCGTTTTCAGGAAATGAAGGCCCAAGCAGCAGAAGCGGCCAAATTTGCGGTGAAGTTCTCAGTTCCATGTCCAGACTTCGTCGGCTTTCTGGGAGGAGCAAGAACGGAAGAATAGCTGTCAGCAACACATAGGTATTAGAGCACTTTTGTGCCCAAAAAGGACGAGCCTCGATCATGAAGGCTGAGAGCCACTCAACTTGTTTGGAACAAGGCCGATGAGACCAAGACTGTGATCGAAACAGAAAAGATGGAGTAGAACCGCCATGTTTCCAAGATGGCAGACTGTAGGATAAAACGCCGGCGATCGCAGAACCTTCATTGACTCCTCAAAGCTACACGAACTAACCCTCAAGCCTTGAGGTCATTCCTGAAATCCTTGTCAGTAAGGATGATGAAATCCATACTTCCTTGGCAGGGCCATGAACAAGCAGATGAGCGAGCGCGATGAAGAGCTCGCCGGCCTCCGAAAAGAGTTGCAAGAAATGAAGGCGTGCCGCGACGTGGCGCGGCGTGACTGACTGGCAGACCCAGTCTCGGTTAGGAAAAAGTCACTACTGAGTATACCAAAAATAAACATAATTATATACATATACACATACACATGCACAAAAAAGGGTAGGACAATCTATGTATTTTTTGTTTTATGTCTTATGTATTTTTGAGGGCTCAAGATTGCTGTAGCTTTAGCTCCAGAACCACTTGGTGCCCCAGTCTCTTGTGGAGACGATCTTGTGCTTTGCGCCATAGCCGGCAGCCCCTCGTGGCATCGGCGCGAGCGTGCCCGTAGGTCCCGTGCGAGGGCCTTCATTCACAGGTTTCGTGCCTGTGTTGCTCCCAAGGCAAAAAGAGTGCTGAAAGCTTTGCGCTTGGCAGCACTTCTAGAGCGACATCATAGCCAACCTCGATACAAGTTGGAAACCGGGATGTCATGGAAGGGAAGATGGGGCTCGAATGCTCGAGCAGAAGCCTGGCGGAGCTCATGGCCAAAGGAAAAGAAGCCGCAGCAGGACAAACCAAAAAAGGAAAAAGCGGACAACTTGGTACTTCGGTACCACGATGGCACCAAAATAGACACTACTATTGGTGGAGCGTCTGCATCCTTGGTTTCGCCTTCTCAAACCTCTGGGCTGCAGGAGGAGAACAAAAAGCTGCGCGAAGCTGTGAAAGCATTAGCGGAGAAGACAGATCTTTCAGCTGTCGAATCTGCGGACGAAATTCGAAAGCTTGTCGAGACCGACCCTCGGGCGGTCTTGCGGGAACAACAGAAGGAGTTGAACAAGCTGAAGAAGGAGTTGACCAAGAAGGAGAAGATCGAAAAGCAGATAAAGGAGAAGACGGACAACCATACCAGTTGGAGGGCTGGTATTATGGAAGGTGTCAAGAGGGCCGATACCAAATACACGGAAGAGATCAAGAAGCTGAAGGAAGAGTTGGCTCAAGTCGAAGACGACAAGGATGCCAAGGATGGGATACATGTGGAGGATTCCCTGGAGCAAGACGGTGGTGTAGATGGGAAACTGGAGGATATGAACAGGAAGATGTATCAGATGGCTTCATACGTCGAGACGATGGAGCAACGCAATCAAGACCTGGCATATCAAGTTTCAATGCTACTAACTGCTGTCAAAGGGAATGCAGAAACTCTACCTCCTCACTCTCCTCAGTATGTGAAGCCGCCGGCCAGAGCAGCGATGGCCAGTGTATCGGCCGAAAGAACTTCCAGAACATCTCGGGAGAGATCACGATCGCCTTGTCGGATCGAAGTCCTCGAGGGGGATGTCAATCCACTGACCCACCAAGCTGTTCAGGAAGCTCTAACTCCGGAGCATCAGGAACATGTGCTTGCGATTGTGAAAGCAGAGCCCGAAAAGTTTCCTACGGTCGAGACCATTGTCATTCTGACGCAACAAATGTTGGCACAGATGACGAAAGTTCCGGAGGAGGCCAAAATTATTCCAAATGGACGAGGGCCCCTACAACCTTTTTGGAATTCCAAAGATCCGATCCGAAGGTTCTTGCCTCATTCCGGCAAGGGAAGAGCAAGGGCAGCAAGCGTGGAGGACGATCCCAACCGCAAAGAGGAAGCTACATCTCCACTGAATGCTATGACACTATGAACAGTGGGCCAAGCGAGGGAAGCAGGGGGTCTTCCCTATTATGCGCCAAATTTGAAGGCAGCAGTGCTAGTGAATCATCTCCTGTTCTTGATCTGTTGCAGACATTTCTCTCACTTCACTATGAGCGACAGTTGGACTGGTGTTGATGGAAATTTTGGGGCTTTGCTGGAAGGGATCTCTTTTGGCTCGTATTGTATCCATTGGGATGACCTTTTCGGACATGATTACCACGGTTGGCAGGTTTTCAATGCAGGCTGGATTGGTACAGAATGGCAACATTTGTTTTTGCCAGACGATCTAGCAGACATGAATTTACTTGTCGACGTAGCACAGTACTTTTTCGTCACTATGATCCTATCTCCCATTCTTGCTTCCTTGATGGTATGCTGGTTAATGGAGATTCACTATATAGCTGTTTCTCTGTCCTTACGTGGCTTGGTGAAGAATGGAAACATGCTTCTTACGCATTTCCACTTCTTGTCGGTATACAATGGCGGGGTCTATACCATTGTGAATGTGATACTGACGTGTGGAAATGCGAACATGGAAGAGGACATGAATGGTGCCACAGGTTGGGGTGTGCATATCCTCACTGCAGTGCACGATGTCTCGATGTGGTTCTTCGGGGTCACTCTCATTGTTTTGTTCTTAGCACATGGGTGGCGACAGTTACGGCAAAGATGTTCTATCCCTTTGTCCAAGGAGGCAAAGGCCGCCCAGTCGAATTTGCTAAGAATGAATACCAGTCGAACTGGCCTGCGTGCTTTAATAGTGTGTACGTGCATCGTGTCAGGAAAATACTCATCTACACACTACATGGTCAGTCATATGCCTCCAATGGGAAATGCAAATTTCTCCGAGCCTTGTGGGAATTTGCATGGTTCTGAGCATCTAGTTGATGCGATAGAAGGCTTTAGTTCTTGGAAACCTTTTTCGACGTCTGGCCAGGTTGCACGACAGTCAGAGTTGCAAGAGGGATCCAATCGAGCTTGTCAATTTTGTACGGTAGTTCGACCACAAAGAGTCACTACTGATATTGCATTTTTGAATCACTCTCCCGACAAGAGCTATGCTGCGGAAGGGAGCAGGTGCCTAACAAGGGGGCTTGGTGGCTCATACCCTCTGACCTGCACCTTCCAGGAAAGCAGACGACACTTTGGTGGAAGTGCCAGTGATGGTGCGAGCAAGAAACCCACCATGAATGTGTGGAGAAGGGAGAGATTTTGGAGGTTGAATAAGGAGAAAACTACGCATGACATGACAAATGATGCTTTGTTTTTGATGCAAAGCTCTTCATGGAAATCTGCGTCGAGCAACTCTGGCTATAGCTCTTGGGAGCGAAGTTGGACGCAAGATGTTGCTCCGCGGATGGACGTATCGTTGTCAGAGGCTTTTTGGCAGCAAGTTGGCACAATCCAAAGACAATTTCCCGATGTTCACCTGTACCTGCACGGGCTCAAGGGGAAACATATAGCAACCAGAGTTCTGACGATTTATGGAAAGAAGAAAGGAATACTTCCAAGTCTACACAGCCGGATTGAACATTTATGGCGCGATCATTATGATCGCAGGGAGTCAGCTTCGCTACACTATGTTGATCCTCAGCCAATCAGTACTGCTATGAATGGACAGGTGCATGTGATTTTGGATCTGTGGCCCAGTCTACAAGGAACACCAGTGCTCTCTCAATGGACAGTTGACGACGAGCCTGGCTGTGCGGTGCAATCGCACCGACTACAACGCGACACACCCTTTGATGAAATCTTGACTGAGTGAGATCTGCCGAGAGAGATTGTGAGCGGCATGAAAGTAACTTATGCCTATCGAGATCGTGGTTATGGACGGCATGATGTCATCCATTATTCCAAAGGAGCTAAATTTGATATTGACCTTGCTTTGGAAAGAGAATGTCCCAGTTCCGAAACTCTCGATGGACGCTTTGTTGCTGAGTTCTCAATTGATCCTTTGCAAGACTCTACCTTTCTGATGCAAGTACGACCGCTTATGGAAGATATGCTCGTTCGACACATCAGGCGTGTTCGGGGTGGTAATGTTAGAACTGATGTGCTGACCTGGATGCATCTTGCTGAGTTCATTCAGCAGCCGCAGAGGGATTTGCGCATTGTCACGCACAACCCTGATTTGCCGATAGGTCATAATATTCGAAGTCGATGGGTGCACACTTTTGGGCGTAGGTCATGTTATATCTTTCCTGTTTGGCCATCTCCCAGTAGTGGTAGAGGTCCTGAGCCGCATTTTATTGTCACCACATACAGTGGACATGGACTGTTGCCGTGCATTGATTGAGTACGAAACAAGTCGAAGTTTCCGTCAGGCAAGTTTTGTATTTCGCACCCGAAATTGGTTGTCTGTTCAGCAGATCTTTGCCCGAGTTAGTCCTCAGAATCAATGTGTGTGGAGGACAGAGTGCACACTTCGATGTGGTGACACATACTATGAATGGCATTCAATATGTTCCCTTGTACGAAGGAATCTACCTCAGGATGATGGAGATTGATAGAGACAGTTCCACTGAGGGAAGCGAAACCTGTGATGACAGTGAAGAGCTTGAACAAATGTCCCGAATAGAGACAATCAGTTCGCAAGCGGAGTCAACAGGGGAAATAGAACATGTTTCCTTGATGCAAGGTGAACTTTCCTGGCAGGTGCAATTCGATGAAGAAGAGGAGGCCTTCCAGCAAGCATTGACGGAACTTCCGTCCACGGTAGGTGGCATGAGGGATGTCTCTGAATGCGTGATTCCTGCGGCCACAGGAACGGTGGATGCCTTCCGATTCTTTTTGGATTCGCACTTTGACATGAATGAAGTCATTACACACACTGTCTATACTTGGATTGTCACTAGCCAGGTGGCTGTTGTTGCTCGGGTTTGTGTGATTGATAGGCGACGTTCTGCTACGGAAACTGTTCTTGCGGAATGGAAAGATACAGAGCAGGACTGGCCCATTTCGTTTGCACTCGCCGAGCCACAGCCAGCTCCTCTGACTTTACGAACCTATCCAATCGATGTTGTGGGACTTCTTCGTACGCAAAGATTTCGGCAGGAAAAAGTCTATCTCATTGACATCCTTTATGTTGGACAGCCTAGACGTGTTGCTGTCCTATGCCAGCCCGGAGATTGTCTCAGAGACATAATTTCTAAAGTCGGTCTAGGACACTACTGTCGACTAGAGGGAGTTCGTTGTTTCCTGACCTGGAATGACGAGAATGAAAACAAGGTATGGGAATATGATGACCTGGTAGATGAGAAGCACGCCAGTGCCTTTCAGCTTCATCTCCGAGGTCAGCCGAGAAGAACCATTTCTGTCAGAAGTCAGGCTTGTAATTTTGTGCAACTGAAGTCTGTCGTC